GCGGGTCAGGAGAGGTCTGCCACACCATGTGGTCTCCTCCAGGGCAGGCGGGAATTGAACTCATGCAGAAGCGGCTTTTTAGATTTTCAGTGCTGTGCTTTAACCCGCTGCGCCACCAGGGAGGGCCCAACAATTTCATTTTTAAAAATACCCAAGAAATTCACAATGAACAGGCCCTCATGTAAATAGCTAATTATTTAAATTATATCTAAATGCAAAGTATTCAGTGGGTGAAGCACTCAGAGTAGACATTCTCACCAGTGATGTTTCTTAAATCTTCATTACCTTCATTAGTGAAGTGAGCATCATGACAATGACATGAGAGTTATGGTGAGGATTAAAACTAGTGCATGCAGAGAGTGGTCAGCACAGGGACAGATACCTTCTCTAGACCAGCTGCCTGGCCACCTCAGTCATGAGGATACCAGTGATGACCTTGATGATAAACAGGACTTACTACTGCATGCCAGGCATTTTCCACATTTTGACTCCATTTATATATTATTTTATTCAATAAGCACTCAACAATAATCTGTGACCTTTTCTGCTTCAAGTGTAGTTCTTTGAATTTATTTCCTGCCTCAACTCCATGGCTTTTATTGAAATTCAGTGACTGAAGAAGTTTTGAAAAAGAGTTAGCCCTGTGTTACCTTATGTGTTGGATACCAAGGTTATTCTAAATGAAATTCCAATGTGTTTTCAGATTGTATGTCAAGCTTGTTCGTCAAATAAGTATGGCTTAGATTACCTGAAAAATCAACCAGCAAGAGTGTGTGAACTCTGTTACCAAGAACTGCAGAAATTAGGTAATATATCAGTAAATATTGAACTGAAAATCCTTTATTCTCTAGATGCTAAATGTAGAAATATAATCACAGATTGAAGTGCTTAAAACAGTTACAAGGAAATTTTTATTTTCAATGATTTAAAGTTTCCACTTTCATAGTAGTGTGCTCACAACAAATCATTTTATGTATCTGAAAAATTATTCTCTGAAAATCTAGGTGGCAGTTTGTTAATCTAATTTTAATAAGTTGGACTTAATAAAAAAAAAAGATTTATTAAGGCATACAAGCACTGGAGTGTAGGCCAGAGGTGTGGGGGGCGAAAGTATCACCAGTGACAGAGTGGGGAGCAGAACAGGCAGATGTTCTGAAATACACTGCTGAGGGGAGTAGTGGGTGAGACAGGAGAGGTCTGCTGTGCCATGTGTGTTAGCTCCCTGGCTGGGGATCAAACAATAATTATATTGCAGTGACTGGTGATAGCTTGATAGCACTGTGTCTTTAATCTTGCACCACCAGGGAAGCCCAGAGTTCGACTTATTTGGTGAAGTTTTATTATACAACTAATTTATCTACAAGAAAATAGAAAACAATATATTGTATCTGCCTACTCATCACTCGTAGATATCCTTCCCTATAGTTTAGAGGAAGGCAGCTAGCTCAGGTCTGTATTTTGGTATAAGCTTAATTAAATTTCTGAAAGCCATAGGATCTGAATGTTTAGAAGATTGCCTTTCGTTTCCACAAAGAATAACTTTTCATCAACAAATGGAACTCTCTCAGTAAATAAAAGTAGATCACGTGCCATTTCAGAATCCATGTTATTTTGTTATTGTCTATAGATTTTTCAGGAAAACACATCCTTTGCCAGTTTTTATGTTGCTCCCTCTATTCTTGGGTTATATAATGTAGCTGCAACACATACAGTTCATCTTTGTGTCTTCCTTAACTCTTCATCCACACCCACCGTAAATCTTGTCAAATATACCTTTGAAAGTCTGTTCTTTTCCTGGTTTCTTTATTTCTAACTTATTCAGTCTAACAATGTATAATTACCTAACATTTTGTTCTGCACAAATCTTTCCTTCTTGCTACTGCCATATTTTTCTAAATTCAACCTGTTCATTTCATTCCTAGCCCAAAAAGCCTTTCATTTCCATTCTTAAAGGAAAGCCCTTAGAACCAGCCTTTTCGTCTCCTAACTTTGTTATTCTCCAAGTAAATAATTTGTTTTTATACCTCTGCTTTTGCTTATGTTGACATCTCTTTGTGGAGTGTTTTTCCTCCTTTTACCTGGGAACTCCTACTTTACCTTCTTGGTGAACTCAAACATGGCATTATCTTCCCAACTTTCTCTGAACTTTGCAGTCAAAACAATTGCTTCCTCATCTTGTCCTATAACTATCCTTTTCTAGTGCTTATTACTTTATCTAGTATATTCAAAATAAACAATGTTGTTAGATTGTTTTTTAAGTCAGGAGGGAAAATTTTTTGAATTGGCAGGACGTTAGCATTTTTCACAATTCTAAATGCATAAAAGCATAATCCTTTCATATGTTTTACATTTAAAAAGTATAAAATTTACACAATGGAAAGTCTTGCTCCCACTCAAACTTGGTCATCCATCTTCTTTACTGAGAGGCCCCAGTACCAACAGTTTCTTGAGTATCCTCCCATGTATATTTTATGCACTGTTGTTCATGATTTGATTTGAATTGCAGAATGCTTATTGGCTCCATAAGTAAGTGTACTTTATTTTTTTTAGATCACCAGCACTCCCCTAAGATTGGCTCTCCCGGAAATCACAAATCTCCGTCAAGTGCCTTATCATCAGTCTTGCATAGTATTCCATCAGGGAGGAAACAGAAAAAAATTCCAGCAGCTCTCAAAGAAGTAAGTGATTCTATTAAATTTAAAACCTGATAGAAACTAAATTATTTATATGCATCTAATACACTGTTTTTCTTTCATACAGCAAGATGTTATTAATGCATATTGCTTGATCTCCCTTATGACCTGAGTCATTTAGAAATGGTTGTTGATGAAAATGAAGACCTTTTTTTTTTTTTAAATAATATAATAATTTATTTTTACATCGTTTTGTG